TTTATTGTCACTGCAATATAATCTGCATTCCATTGTGATGGGGATTTTTAAAAACATGCGCGGACGCGCTCTATTGCAGTTATTTTAGAATTTTCAATTTAACTCTTGTCGGTATGGAATTTTTGCAAAACAAGTGTTTCAATATAAACATAAGACAACTGGAAAGAACCAGTATAAAAATAAATAAACACAATATGTCTATATTAGTCAATTAAACATGTCTGAATGAAGATATGCCACCTAAATTATATATATATATATATATATATATATATATATATATATCAATATGACATATATATATATATATATATATATATGACATATATATATATCAATATGACATATATATATATCAATATGACATATATATCAATATGAAGATATATATATATATATATACATATATATATATATATAAAATATGACATATATGTGTGTTGATAGATATATATATATATATCAATATGACATATATATATATGACATATATATATATATATATATATATATATATATATAAATATATATATATATATATATAATATATATATATATATATATATATATATATATATATAAAAATATATATATATATATATATATAAATATGACATATATGTGTGTTATATATATATATATATATATATATATATATATATATATATATATATATATATATATATCAAGAAACAATATTGGGGGAAAATGTATGACAAAGTCTAAAAATGTTTTCGTGTGACGCGTTTCATACTTTTAAAGCCACAGACCAATGAAGTCCTAAAGGACGAAACGAGTCACGTGTACCTTTTCCCCATATATATATATATATATATATATATATATATATATATATATATATATATATATATGTGTGTGTGTGTGTGTGTGTGTGTACATTAGATACATTATATATATATTTATATATGTCTATGTACATAAAATACATTATATATGTGTGTGTGTGTACGTTAGATACATTATATATATGTGTGTGTACATTTGATACATTATGTGTGTGTATGTGTACATTAGATATATTATATATGTGTGTGTATGCGCATTAGATACATTACATATATATATATGTGCGTGTGTGTGTATATTATATAATATATATATATATATATATGTGCGTGTGTGTACATTATATACATTATATATGTGTGTGTGTACATTAAATACATTATATGTGTGTGTGTACATTAGATACATTATGCATATGTGTGCGAATATGTGTGTATATTAGATACATTACAACTGACACATCGATCCTTTTTCACTGCATTAAATAGATAGTAAGTTCACTGATCGATAGATACATTCAAACAAATTGAGATAAGCAAATACATCAATAACCGGATTAGAAAGGATTTCACTAGATAGATAGATAGACAGATAGATAAATTGATAGATAAATAGGTAGATAGATAGATAGATAGATAGATAATGAACATACTGAGTTAGGTAATGAACAGAAATAGACAAGACAAAACTTTTTTTCGATTTTGTCATCTATCTATCTATCTATCTATCTATCTATCTATCTATCTATGTCATGTGAATACCAGGTGTTGCAAGATTGGATATGAGGGTGGTGTAATGGATATCAACTCGGGATTGTATTCGGAGAGCCGAGTTCGAATTCAAGTCGAGCAAATACCCTTGGGAAAGGTATGAATTTATCTCTTCTCCGCCAGCTATAGTGGTCACCCATCTCGGTACAGACTAGGCTCGACGTTGCATAACCTATTTTAATATAGAACAGTATTATTACTGCCAAGAAATTGCGTTTGCTTTCCTTGTTTTCCATTTTTAAAGATTGGATTAATGTGGTGAAGCTGGGCACCATTCCATTAATCTTGGTGTCTTTGAAACATTTTTTTATGACAAAATGGCAATAGTCAGCTGCGTAGGAGCTGTTAAGATGAAGGTGCATTGTCTTACACTTTTGTTTAAAGTCTCTTGGTTGTAAACTGAGCCAATCCAAAAAATGCGCTGTCGAAGAACTTGCCCTTATTCTTTGCATTTATCTTGACTACTTTGAAGGGGTCTATAATCTTACGAACTACAGTTCTAATAAAAAATATTACTCTAGTGTTCCCTTATTGACATCTAAGTTGTGTTGTGTGACAATTTTTTTTTGAAGGACCAAGCCCTTAGCACAGCCATCTAAGTTCAACCTATTTAGCTCTACATACATCTACCTTTGATAAACTAGTTTTAATAAAAAAATATTCTAATAAAAAATATTACTCTAATGTTCCCTTATTGATATCTAAGTTGTGTTGTGTGACTATTTTTTTTGAAGGACCAAACCCTTAGCACAGCCATCAACCAATTTAGCTCTACATACATCTACCACTGATAAACTAGTTTTCACTTACTTTGTCGCCCAGTTTACACGTATCGCATTGGGATGTTTACGTAAAGGCGGTAGTAAGGTTGCTTTCACATCTTTAGCTAATGCTTCAATTCTTTTTCTCTATTTACATTCGCAAAACTAGCTTTTCCAATTATATTCTTTGCTGGTTAGCTTACTTTTCTTGTCTATTACCGATTTAATTTTCCTCAAATCTCTTTTTGTGGTGTTTCTTGAAGCCAGAATTATTTTTTTTGTTCTTAACTTAGGAATGTTTTTAATTTCTTTTTCTTTTTTTATCATTTTACTTTGTTTCACTTCTTCGCAATTTCTAAAGTTTGTATTTGTTTTAATATCTGAGGTATTACGTCTTTCATAACTAATTGCAATCTTTACACATTTGAAATTAAATAGTAAATATCTATAGTCTTATATATATATATATATATATATATATATATATATATATATATATATATTATATATATATATATTTTTAAGACATTTTATGTTTATACATTCTTTTTATAGATATAAATATTTAAGTAAATGCTCTGTTTTATAATAAATCGTATTAAACAACATTTACCGGCCTAAATGTCCGAGAAGTTTTCACAGAAAAAATTCGTCCTCCGACAGGATTCGATCCTGTATCCTATACAGAACCGTCATTTAGCTTGACGTGCCTTAACCGATTTGGCCCTAAAGGAGCTTTCGGTTAGCAAAGTCGAATTTACTGCTTTTAAACTACAATCTCCCATGATTCTTTCACGTACATTCATATCTGCTCATGGCGTATCCAAATGTAAACAAATGACGTCACACATTATGAAATGGACAAAGGCCGACAATTATTTTAAGACATTTTTAGAAAAATGGCTTAAAATAATTGTCGGACATTGTTCATTTCATAATGTGATATATATATATATATATATATATATATATATAGGAGAAAACATTGACTTGCATAATAATATCGAAGAGAAAATATAGGTAGGAGTGGAATGAGATAGATAGATACATAGATAGATATTAACAGACTGAGATGGATAGATAGATGGATTTGATTATCGCACGGTTCACATCTGAAATGTTGTAGAGCTTTTCATTTTATATTATCTAAGATTTCTTTCGGTGAAATTATTAGAAACAAAAAAGGTAGATAGATAGATAGATAGATAGATAGACAGAAAAATGGGATAGATTAATATGAACTCACCTATAAAGTGGGCTAGATAAGTAAAAGACTGAAAAGACTGACATAGATAGATAGATAGATAGATAGATAGATAGATAGAAACGGACAGATAGATAGATTGACTGATAGAAAACTGGGATAGATTAATTTGAATGGGCTAGATAGGTGTATCGGAAAAGACTGACATAGACAGATCTGAGCAGACTGAAATATATATATATATATATTAATATATACATATATATATATATATATATATATGTGTGTGTGTGTGTGTGTGTGTATGTATATATATATATATATATATATATATATATATATATATATATATATATATATATATATATAGATAGATAATTGTTACATTCCACAGACTCGGTTATCGCCCTGTTCACACTTGTCCCCGCCCATTGAACTGTAAAGGTTTAAACCTTCTTTAGGATTGGATTTTTACAATTCCTTCTAAAGACTTCTCATTTTCTTTTACACCCAGTAACCCTTTGCATCTTAGTTTTTATTTTCTTTATTTTTTATCAATGATTAAAAACAAAAAAAGAATATAGGAAGATAAATAGGAATATATAGATAAGAACTGACTGGGAAATGTGTACATAAGATTATTAAAGTCCTTTTTGTTTACACGGTTCATATAGAAATTAGATGAACCATTGAACTCAGCTCTATGCCATCGGTCTGTGTATAAATGTTACCATAGTAATCGCAATATGGTACTTGTTTGGTGCAGGAGAGTAGGATAAAATATTTAGTCGACTATAATTAGCATGCGATCTCAGATAATTTAAATAAAACAAATACATACATACATACATACATATATATATATATATATATATATATATATATAATTGTAGATAATGATCAGACAGAGAAACCGACACGAATGAAAGGAACTGATTGAAATATTAACACGGATTAACAGGTAGTTCTGAAAATAATTGATATATATATATATATATATATATATATATGTATATATATGAAGATAGATAATGATTAGATATATAGATAAACAATGGATTGATATAGATATGAATAGACTATGATAGAGAGAAAAAACTTATAAAAATGAATATTAACAAACAGATAAAAATATGAACTAATTGAAATATTAATAAAGAGATTAGCAGATAGTTCTGAAAAACATATATATATATGTGTGTGTGTCTGTGTATGTATATATATATATATATATAGAGAGAGAGAGAGGTGAAGATAGATAAGGATCAGATAGATAGGTAGATAATGAATAGATTGATATAGATAGTAATAGAGTAAGATAGATAGACAGACAGACAGACAGATAGATAGATAGATAGATAGATAGATAGATAGATAGATAGATAGACTGATAAAAATGAATATGAACAAACTGAGAGAAACAGATATTATTAAGTTAACTGATTGAAATATTAACATAAAAATTAACAGATAGTTCTGGAAAACTTATATATATATATATATATATATATATATATATAATTATTTATTTAATAATATGATTCCAACACGCTACAGAAGAGTTCTCATGTTTCAAAACAAGAGCCTTTGGATTATTTACCTAATGAGTTCTTTCCTATTTTCTATATATTTTTACAACACACACACACACACACACACACACACACATTGTGCACACACAACACACGCGTAAAATGTGTGTGTAATGCATACATGAAGAAATATATCTATATATTAATAAAATAAGTATCAATAAAATGCAATAAACTCCGCAGCACTTATTTCGATTAACCGTGTCACTTAGAACGATTACTTCGCTACTTATGTAAATGGGAAAAAAATCTTAGTTGGCAATAATATAAATGACAGATGCCTATTAAAAGACACTTGATTATTTATGGATAATTGTAAATAATCCACTGACTACTGATTGTATCACGTGGCAATAATTGTAAGTAAAACAATGTGCTAAAATAAGTAACCAGCTAATCGTTTTAAGTTCTCTGATAATCGGTGCCTTAAAATTTAAAATCCAACAATAGCTCGTTAGTATTGAAATAGACAAATATAACAGGCACGAAAAAAGAAAAACACAATGAAGTACAAGACATGTGACTCTGCCTGGTAGCTGAGAGAGTTGCAGGTCCTGAATAATTGTAAGCTGGAGGTATCCCAGTCACCACGACGGTTATTTAACCATTTTACCTTTAGCTATACAATCTTCAAAAATTTAAATGCATCTTCCATCGACATTTTCTGTCTTGTTGAATCCTGTTCTTTCATTATCCTTCCTCCTCACTAACGGTTTCTAATTTTTTTCCACTCTTAGTAATTCCTTGTGTCTTAGTGGCTTTATTACCTTGCTTGGGGTGAAATGAATTTTAAAAGATGTCTCATAGTTTACAGTCGAAAAAAAGTACACGCTTTCATCTTGGGTACCTCAACCGTTTGAATTTAAGTGTAATACTAGACTTGAAGCAATAGAAATGTAGTTCTACAGAAGGATGCTGAGGATAATATAGATCGAACATGACAAGGTTTCAGGAAAATGGAAGCAGAAAGGAAACTTTTACTTAACACCAGGAAATTGTCCGGCGTGGACGAAGTTTTAGAGAACGTAAAAACAAAAAAGACACTTATGCTTAACAGCAGGAAGAGATAGTTGAAGTTTTAGGCCACATCATGAGGAAAGAAGGCTTGGAAAATCCGATACTCACAGGACAGATTGAGGGAAAGAGGGACAGTGGAAAGCAGTGCGTAATATAATTGAAGGGCTTGAGCAAATGGATGGCGGAACAGGGCTTGCAAGAAATAACAGAGAGACAAAACTGCAAGGGATAGGAATATGTAGAGGGCCAGGATCGCCTACGTGCTGAAGGGATATGGCACATAAAGGAAGTAGAAAGACTAGATTGTCAAGTAGGTCTCATCGTTTTATTGTTGAAATAGCTAGATATAAGCTTAATTTCTTTTCTAAAAGCTTCTATCACTCCTCGATTGTGGAACTCTTTCTTTCAGCTACTTACCTTATTGACATCATCTTTTTCTGCGTACAACGTCCCTTCAGGTTTTAATAAATGTATTTTCTTGACTCTCCTTGTTACGCCATTGTTACGGGATCTTACCCATAATAATAATAATGGACTATTCTATACTTAATAAATACTGCGCCTAAGGAGTAGGCAAGGAGTCAGTAGTTAAAGTCTTGAACGACAGATCGGTTGAACTCTCTGCCTTCGGGCGGGGAGGAACCCGAACGAGGCTACGCCGAGGGGCGGAGTCTCGTTCGGGTAGGTAAACCGACCCTGAACCCGTTTATACGGTTTCAAATGGGCATATTTTTTGGCCGAGCCCACGGGCTAAAAGGCCCCAAAAAAGACCTTGTGACATGCCCCCGTGGAGGGGGGGGTGACTGAATATCGTCAGTCGCTCAACTCTTGAACGACAGATCGGTTGAACTCTCTGCCTTCGGGCGGGGAGGAACCCGAACGAGGCTACGCCGAAGGGCGAAGTCTCGTTCGGGGAGGTAAACCGACCATGAACCCGTTTATACGGGTTCAATGGGTATATTTTTGGGCCGAGCCCACGGGCTCGGAGAATCCCACGTTAAATAACCGGCCTTGTGCCACATGACACCCTCGTGGGGGGACTGAATATCGTCAGTAGTTCAAGTCGAGTCAGTAGTTCGAGTCGAGTAGTTCAAATCGAGTCGAGTCAGAGGCAGTTCGAAACAGAGTCGCGTTCAGACAATTACTGCAAGACATTGGAATAGTGATACTGGTCGAGACTACATTGTTCTCTCTACTAAACCTGATTGTTCATACTAACACTTTCTACTTCTCTGTATATATTCCTGTTTGTAATATATCTGTGTTATTCCATACCTGTGTTCGAGTTCTTCTTTATTGGTTCTACCTTGGACTATCACCGTGGTACAAGGAACCGGAACCATAACAATAATAACATTTACTCAAGCTCGCTAAGAAGGTTATACCTGTGTGTCCCTGTCTTTATTTTTGCCTTCATTCTGTCCTTTGGCGGAAGATTTCTGCAAGCCCTTTTTCATCATTAAATTATAGGAACCTTCAACAACAATCTCTTCCTGATGTTAATCCATTTTGAGAAAAACGTTTTTATTTTTAACATTCTTTAAAAACTTCGTCCAAAAAATCTTACAGTTTTTTATCAAATTTCAACCAAAAAGATCAATTCTTGCGGCAAAAGAATTTTGGTTTTCTTTATAAGGATGCTGGGATGATATAGACCGAACAGTCTGCAGGTTTCAGGATCTGGAAACAGAAATAAAATTTTTTACCGGTAACGACAAACTGTATCAACGTGAACGACGTTTTATGAACGTCAAAACGAAAAAGACACTTATGCCGGATTTCTTTTGGTAACAGAGTTTTGGTTCTAAAGAAGGATGCTGATTTATTTCATTAATTCAGCATGAGATTTAATTAGTTTTCAAAGATGGTTCACAAACTGGACACTTGGACTTAAAAAAGAAAGGTTAACCTTCTGGGACATTAATTAAATAAAAACGTTTTTTGATTTGACACTCATTAACATTTTTTTTTTTAAGAAAAAAAAAAAAAGTTTCTTATGCATTAAAATAAAACCTAACGAGAGAAAAATGGATGTCGGAATTTCTGGGACTTATAATGAGGAAAACGTGGCAGAGGAAATGAGCGAGTAACCTACTCAAGGAACTTGTGTCATCCGTTTTTTCTTTTTTAGTGGTTGATTTGTTTTTTTTTTTTTAAGTTTACCAACAATTTTGTGGGTTATTTAAAGCCAAACTATATTTTGATTTGTAAGAACAATTCTTGTTTTTTTGCGAGTGAATATTGCATTAAAGATGTTTTTGACAAGGATTTATCTAGATACAAGTCATACTATTTAACCCATAGCTGAGGGAGATGATGGATTCCTATTTTTTATAAAAAGGTACGTAAAAGAGATAAATACCCAATTAGAATTCGATGGATTGATCGATTTCTTGTGTAAAAGATGAGCAGAACAGGGAGTCTGTAAATGTTATAAACAGTTTTCCGCATTGAATCTAAAATGATTCCTGAAGTATGTGGAGAACAATTAATGCCCATTTTCGAAAGAAAACATCATACTTATTATAAAACCCAGGTTGTTCTGTGTTCAGTGTTCATGTGTGTTTGTTCGTTCATTTATTGGATCGGATTTTCGTCCATTTTCAACCGATTTCAACAAAACTTCACAGGAACAAAATTACCTTTTGAACTTAAACTATCAGGACAGAAATATAAAAAACCAAAAAACACAATTGTTTTTGTGTCTTAAACAGATTTGAAAACAATATTCAGACATCGCTGTCGCCAAGATAATGAAATGGGGAAATAACTCATAAAGACAAAGATACAGACATAAAGACAAAAGACCCAGGTTGTTTGTGTGAAATGTGTTCATTTATATATGGGATCGGATTTCCTTTTGATTTCAGCCGATTTCAACAAAAACGTTCATTTTTTTTGGAGATTATATTTCTTATTGCCTTGCACACTTTTTTTTTTATTTTTTACATTCAGAATGCTTTAAAAATTCCATTTAAAGACAATTGTTTATAATAAAATTCTATTCAATCAATAGACCATAATATATTTTGAAAACAATTTTTTTTTTGAAAAAATATATTTGACCAATTCGTGAAAAAAAAAAAAACTTTGTTAAGACATGTGTCTGTCAACAAAACAAAATAAAAATTTTATTTTTCAGTCTTTATGATGGTTACTTGATCTATCTCTTATTATTACATCCCCTTATTATTGCAGATTTTTTTACTTCTAATATAAAAAAAATTATGAATATGAATCTGTCCTTGTGGTGACCCATATTTTACACAGAGAGTAAAGTATTAACCTGACCAATGTTTACTAATAGACTTAATGTATAAACATTTATAATATATATACCTATATATATATTTATAAACATAACCTGAATAACATTTGAAAAAAATATAGACTAGGAAAAGTGAATACAACAATGTCCAGTTATAAAACATTATTAAAAATGTACGCTTTCTATAGTCAAATTTAAACCCAATCTAATATAAAACATGTAAAACAAAAGCGTAAACACGAACAATACTGTAATAAAACAAGATAGAAACTCATTTATTTTACCAATAAAATGTTGTAATGGAATGTTTGAAAATCCCTATTGTCATGTGGACTGACTATTTTGTTTTAGGTTGTATATTGTGTGTATCTTATGACTAATATGATCCTTGTATTTGATGGTCCATTGATTTAGAACCAATAAAAGAATAACTACGAACACAGTGTATGTATAAATATATATATAAATATAAATATAATATAATAAAGTGGAAAAGTTAGAATGAAATTAGATTTGGTTAGAGTTTACTACATTTGTTTTTTTATAGATACAAATCAAATCCAAACAATATGCTCTCAATA